AAAAGTGTGGATTATTGTAACCTGGATTAAAAGTGTGGATTATTGTAGTGAAGCCTTCGTCTTCAACCATCGACAGAGGCCTCATGTCAGTGACGATCATGTTCAGGATGTTTCAGTGAAGACAGCTGCTGCTGTGGTGTCCATGATGTCTGTCCATCATGAAGTATTGTTGTTGTTTGTTGTTGTTTTCTGGAATGAGACAGTAAATATGTTTTATATCATAATTTACAGCAACTCAAGAAATGCCTTGTTTCACTTACAGTGTTAGGTTCAGGCAAAAGTAGCTAAAAGAGCAATTAAACACACACACACACACATAAAATACTTAATTCACACATTTGAGTAGATGTAATAAATTACTTTAATTCCTGTTTAAATGCAATTCATCCTGCCATACCTGCAGTGTCTTCAGACTTTGCCAGCAAATTAAAAGTTGAAGTTTAATCATTAAATTATTATCTTTGTGTTAGATTTATTTATAAATCACATTTAAACACTGCTTGTTCCAATTAAATTAAATAAAAAGTAACACACGTTCTCTATCACCGCCATTACTCTAATTCACAGATGAGGCCCCTCTGTTCCCATCAGGTATGAAAACTGACTGGGAATCTGTCTTAAAGTTGCATTATAGGTTTTTGAAAGTTGAAATCTGAGGCCTCCTCCTCTGTTAAGAGACGGTTTTTCTCTTTTTACATAATTTGCTTCCTTCACCCCCCTCTCAAAACATCTGTTAACCAACTTCATCTAATGGAAACATATAAAGAGTATCAGTCCTAGCGCTAAACCCTGAGGAACTCCATGACTGACTCTGGTGTATGAAGTAGACTTACAGTATTATTGACAAGGACAAACTGGAATCTGTCAGATAAATGTACTTTCATATAAATATATTTTAAATAATTTTAGAGTAGTTTCTATAATCCCAGGATTGTATTTTAGATTTAAACGTACATCAAAACAAACAAAACAGCACGAGTCATGAAAACATTAATCAGTTTGTGTGAACAAAATGAAACCGTATAAGCTCATGTTGACATACATGAAAATTTTAATTTGAAAAGTTTGTAAAAGTATTAAAAAGTCAGTGAGCACTTAAATGTATGTATTTAATCAAATAACATTTTGTTTGAGATCTATTTTATGATTTATTATTACAATAAATATTTTACTAATATTTTAGACATGTTTTCTACACATTAACGAAGAGAAACATCAGTGAATATTCACTTTTCATAAGACTAAAGAAACATCATCCCATAAACAAAATAATTCAATTACTAAAGTGTCATCCTGTAAAGCTAGACCAATTTATCAAATATCAGTTTAGATCAACATTTTTATAGACAATAGTTATTTTAAAGTGATATTATTCATAAATAATTCAAAATAATTTAGTTTTTATGCTGTCAGATGTGATGAACTGAATCTTTGAATTTCACGTTGTGTAATAAAAACACATTGTTCTTTAACAAACTAAATATTTCATTTGTCTTTGATTATTTAAAACGTGCGTGTTCTTGTGGTTTTGCAGATTCACGCAGCATTACACGTACCCCCAGGCGTTCCTGCACCCCAGCCTCCTGCTGCAGTCCCCCCTCAGCCCTGCGGTGGCAGCACTCGCCTCCCCTTACCTGGACTACAGCCCCTATGCCCCCTCAGGACTGGAGCAGTACCCTTACACTCCTTCACCGTCGCCTTCCACCGGCTACCTCAGCTACAGCTTCCCCCCCGGCACGCCGACACCTGCCCTCACCACCTCTCCGACTCCTCCAGCTGCCATCCATCCTCCCCTGGCTGCTCTGACCGCAGTGTCCGCCACCCCACAGGGCTTCCTCCACTACCCCCTCCACCAGCCTGAGTGGGGCAGTTCATCGATGGCATTACCGGGACAATAATGTCATCGAGGGAGGGCGGTGTCAAAAAAGGGCTCTTTGAAAGGACTCGCAATTTTTATACATTATTAAAATAATGGTCGTGTGCTATTGTCATCAACATACGCTGAATGTTTTTCATGAGTGGAGACAGTCGGGGGTCAGAAAAAGATGACGAGTCTGTAGTTCAGATATTTTGAAGCGTGGTTCTGTGGAAGTATTATAAACAATCATAATCTTACCTGTCGTAGATATCTTTTTAAACAGCAAGCACGCACAGCAGCTTGTTGTAGCAGTTCTGGTGCAGCCCGGAGCTCTGCTGCCAGAATGTAAGAGTAAAAGTGAACTGGACGGTAAAGGTTTATAATGTTGTCTCTGCGTGAATCACTGAAGTTTTGAGACTAGTTTCTTTAAGATGGTAGAAATCCAGGGCCATCAACCTTTACCATCAAAAGAGCCTTTTCTGCTGCTCCTCCCATCCAGCCATCCATTATCTTTACCCACTTCTTTCTTTTTGGGTCATGGGGGTCACTGGTGCCCATATCCAGCAGTCAGTGTGTGAGAGGCACCCTGGACTGGTCTCCAGTCCATCACAGGGACACATGGAGACAAACAACCATCCACTCTCACTCAACAGCTCCTCCGACTGCGCCTATTTGTGAAAAATCATTATAAATATTTTACCTTAGCTTTTTTCCGAGTATGTTAAATATTTAAATGTAACTTGATCATTTTCGTCTCATAAAGACGGAATCCATTTAGTTCAGATTTGATCCTTCTGCTTTCGTTTTGCGGTTCGATGTGTAAGAATTAGTCGTGTTTGTTTTGGTCAAAGCTCCGGAGCCTGGACTACATGTTGTCAGTCTGGTCCAAAATAAACTGTCTGTCATTCAACAATCTATCTACTACAGGTAATCAATTAAATGTTCCTAAACTTTCTACAGAACCGCTTGGGTTAAACATTTCCTTTTATTAGTCAAACTTTATGAGACGTTGTTGGTGAAGACTCTGACATGATGCTGCAGCTTCTCTGGAGGTACGCCTCTGAACCCTGGACTTCAGCCGAGCTGACGGACCGTTTCTCTTTCTAAAAGTCTTCAAGGTCACCTTTTTATGGCCCCACGGATAAATCTCTGCACCTGGCTGCTCTTTTTTATGTTCTTTTCCATTTCGAGTGTAAACCTTGTTTATTGTGTTCTTTTTGTTGGTTTCTATACTGCCTGGAAGTTATTACGTAAGAGTTATCTCAGAATTTGCAACAATGATTGCTAAGGATCAACATGGTAGACAACACTGGCTGCTTTTGTGTTTCTGTTGCTCTTTTAAAGCCCAGTATTTAAACTGCTTCTTTTTAGGCTTAACTTGTAACGTTTGGACCCAGATGAGTATCTTTGAGGTTGTTCAGAAATGTAGTGACTCGGAGTGAGAATGAAAGACCTTATCCAGTCACCTCACACATTGTTTAAGTTGTTTTATTTTATTTACTAAATTGCATTATAATAAATGCAGCTTTAGCCATTATCACCAGATGCTACTGGTGCTGCATCAGTCGCATCAACCTCACTAATCCTAAATCGAGCCATGCGTCACATTTTAAACATATGCATAATAAACAGAATATTTCTAAATGTGAAGCCATTTGTTATTTTCTTGGTGTAATTCCATTTCAGTCACTGGGTAGTATTTATAAAATGTAGTTGCTGTAACAAAAGAGTCAAGCCACAAGATTTTCTTTATTTAAGAGCGACATCTGAGTGGGTAATGACTGTTCAGACTGCAAAGTAATTAATGTTTTTATAATTATTTGTTTTCCTGCTCAGAATTAGACAAGTTTGTAATCAGTCTCATGTTTGGATCATAAAGCTGGTAACCCACTTCATTAACACTGTTCTGTGTTATACTCGTGTCTAGAGCTGATGGGAATAATGTCAAGCTGTGGGTTTTACGTGAGGTTACAGTACGTGCCCCAACTGGGAGAAGTATGTGCTGGTTACTCAGAAACCACTCCAAGACGCCATGTTTTACAGACACTGATTTCATTTGAATATTGTGCTTTTTGTTCAGGTTAAATCATCGTACTGTAATGTTAATTATTAGGTTTTAGAGGATTTAGCTGTGTATAAAGAGTTCATAAATATAAAATATTCTGTACCATTTTTATAAATGTGTTCTATTATACTATTGTTTTATGTAACATCGGTGAGGTTCTGAGTCTAAACCTGCAGGATTTTATATATTTAATTCATGCATTCTGCCTGGTCCTGGGTGGGTTGGCAAATGTGTCAAACTGAAGGCCCGAGGGCCAAATCTGGCCTTGTTAACATCTTTTCTGGTCCTCGAAATATTTTAAATGTAAAATGTTTTTCGTGGCCTCTCATTTTGCCTAAAAACTTATTATACTTTATTCAATTCAGATGTTTCATGACCAGTTGGCCAACGCTGAAGCCAATAAAAATTTATTTGAATTTTTTGGTCATCTTTGATTTTGAAGTGGGGAGAGCAACAGAACATCAAATTAACCTGCAGCCAAGAAGAGGAGTCCGGTGTGACTTGAGTTAATGTACTGAATGAAACTGGCCCTTGGTTTGAGACAAGTTTTTAATGTTTGCCCCATTTTGTAACTGAGTTTGACACGTCTGATGTAAGGTGTTCCTGTAGAAGGCTCTGACCGTTAGCGTACGTGATCGTTTGTGACTCTTAATCTAACATGCTTTTTAAAATCCAGGTCATTGTAAAGCAGGCGTTAATGAATGAACACACTGGATAAGAAATGGATTACCAAGTTTAAGGCTTTATTTGGAAAACAAATGGATAGACTGGGTTATTATTATTTTTTTAGGTGGGTTTCTGTGGAAATTTTATAAATAATTCATTCTTACTTGTGCAATTGATAGCTTTCTGAACAACCACAGTTTGGAGAAATGGACTTTAAATACATCAAGACAAATAAGCTAGTCCAAATGCAGCTAGTACTAAAGAAAATTGTTCTTATTTTAAAATAAACTCTTTATCAGCAGTTCTTTCAAACGTCATATTGTAAATCTTTTCATCACCACTGGTTTTACAGTAGTTTTTTTACATTATGTAGCAGGAGCAGCAACTGGCTGTAGCATTTCCAGGGCCAAGAATAATATGTTTCTGTTAAATAACTGTATGTTAAACCGATTGCCGTATAACGTTATGTAAAATAATATTAAATAAGTCTCTACAATATTTTGAAAGTTTAGAGATGTTTTAAGATGGCAGCAACCTTCTTTGGTCTTATATTGCTGTTAGCTCAAGTCAGACTTGAACTCTCCAAATTGAGGTAGTTTAGAAAGTTATTACAAGGAAGATACAGCATGGTGGTTATTTTAAGTGATCTTTTGTTAAACATCTACTAATAGTCTCTTGTGAGCGGTGACATCAGTCACCTTCCTCCAGGCTAAGCTAGCAGCTAGCCAAACAAAGGCCTGTTTTAATACGATTGTTCGATTGAGAAAGGAGCAGCAAACTAAACAAACGGTGTCATGCACAAGTGCTGACGTTTAATATTAGCAATAGTGTTCTTTAACACCAGTATGACGTTTTTGAGAAAGAGTTCTTTTAAAACCCTGAAAAACAAAAAATAGGCCTTCATTTGACTAGCCATTAGCCTAGCATGGAGGAAAACCTCTGCCCTTTTTTAAATGTTTTATGACTGATGGTAAACACTGATAATCACTTCAAATATCACTTTTTCAATTATACTTTTTTTAAACAAATAAAATCTGCAATATACCGTCAACTATCATAAATGCCACTTTAGAGTGGCAGCCTCTCCTTTTGACCCGCTTCATGATCATTGGAGCATGCTGTTCCCAGTTTGCTTAACATAAAACCATTGTATTTTTAATGGGTTTTTTAAAAAATCCAGTTTTACCTGTACTATATAGCCATTCAGTTTGTAAGATCACATGACAGACATGGCGTCTCTAAGAAATAAAAGTCTTGTTATTATGACATTAAACAGAACTCAGTTGGTTTTATTATCACCTGCAGCTCTGTGCACACATGTGACTTAACAAGATGAAGTATGTGGCATAAACACGTGAGTCCATTATATTCTGGAGGATGAATCACCTGTTGACACACCGCGGTGAAACAACAATTGGTAGCCATCACATGAACAAAAAAACATTTATTCAGTTCATTTCTGGTTTAAGTACTTTTTGGGGGGGGGTCTTGTTTTGTCTTTGTCAGAGCTGTAAAGATGAGGCTTGGCTGTATTTTATCAGCTGTGATGCCCAATAAACGGGAGAGTAGCATGCATTTGTTAGATTTACCCATTTTTCTTACCAAACCTCAAGTAATGATCTCCTCCACTGTTTCTTCAGTCTGCAGTGTGAACACCTCTGTGGAAAATGAATCCTGCATGTTTCTGTGAAAAACCAGTCACTGAGTTGTGTCTGCCCTCATCTGGCCATAATTGTTTACTGCAGTTTTAACTTTCCTGCATAAAGTGAACTTCTAAACTAGTGTCGAACTCAGTTAACAAAATGAGCCAAAATGTAAAAACTTTGTCTGACGGGCCACTTTCAGCTGATACAGTAACTCGAGTCAGATACCTGATGTCAACAAGAGTTTGATCTGTCTCACTTGACGTTCTGTTGCTCTTTCCACATCAGGATCAATAATGATAGAATGATCCAGCCATCTTTCTGGCTTCAAAGTTAACTGGCTGGCAAGAGAAGTCTATACTAAATGATGTATTTATTAGGTGTTTTTAAAAGAAAAAAATTAGACGAGATACACTTTTTTACATTTAGATTATCATCTTGAGATTTGGCCCACCACTCTCGAGTCTGGTATATCTAAAACCAAACAACACTAACTCTAAATGAACAAAACATGAGACAAGCTTCGTATGAAGTTTTTTTCTGTTTATTATCATAATTTTTTTTAATTGAAACACCTTGCGCTCCCATTAAGGATCAAATAATAAAAGGAGACTCAAATGTAAATCTCGCGCAGCCCATATGCAGACCTTCCATCAAAGATCTGGGATACAACGTTTGCTTTTAGATTGCGCTGGTTCAAAACAGAAGAAAAGCAGGTGGTTTATGTAAAAATGGATCTCATAGCAAACGAGATTCAGACAGCAAACGGCGAGCGGAGGAGAAATGATCCTGTCTGGCACAGTGAGCACATGTCGTGGTACGAAACAGCAGAGCGGTCATGAAAATACAAAAAGGAAGTGCTGAATCTGCAAACTCAATCACACGTACACTTATACACACTCACTTGCAAAACGTGCTCGCTCACACACACACACATGCTCACTCTCACACACTCACAAACTCACAGATAAAATGTAGTGAATGAAAATAATGAAATCCTGGTAAATCTCATGGTCTCATACATCCATGTCTTGTGTTTGAAGTGCAGAAAACTAAAAATAAAAAACTAAGCTCGTGAGTAATGAATCTATCTTTAGAAACGACAATTTCTATCTTACCTAGCCCCACTTCCCACCCCTTTTCTTTCCCCCTTACTCTCCTGATGCCCTTCACCTCGATTCCCCCCCCCCCCCCCCTGTTTCCAGACGCCTCTGTGTTGGCGACAAATACACCTGACTGGGAAGAAGAATGGGGAAGGAGACATGAAACAGCTGCTGGTCCAAGTAACACAATGTCCAGTTTACAAATACACAATGAGTTGGGAGGGGTGGGGGGTGGGGGGGCGTCACTTTCCCCCTGAAATGCTACTGCGTGTTAGTATATGTAAGTGATATTTGGGTTAGTCTTTGGGTTAGGCGTGGAGATGGGGGGCAGATGAGGTGGGGTCGGCATCGCTCAGAGACTTGTCCCTCATCCCCTCTGGATCCCTGTTTGATAAAAGTGGGGTGGGGGGTTCTGGGGCAGGTTTATAGGGCTTGCGTTTTGAGCTCGATTGGCTCTCCACGAGTGTCCTGCTGAGTCTCGCTCTCGGGGGGTCGACTGCCCTTCAGTGTGGCCAGGCGCTCAGACAGACCCCTCATACGAGGGAACAGCATGAAATCGTACAAGAGGGCACCCATGGCGCCACCAATCATAGGCCCGACCCAGTACACCTGCAGACAAGAAGAAGGAAAGTCGTCAATTCGTATATCGTGCGTCTGTTTCTGTTAAGAATAAAATGATTGTCGCTTCGGCGTTATTTCAGCTCTTACCCAGTGGTTGATGAAGTTTCTGAAGAGCACGGCAGGAGCAAAAGACCTGGCAGGGTTCATGCCAGCACCGGTGTAGTACATCTACAACACAAGACCCTTGTTTAGTGTTGTGATTATGTGTGTACACAGCTGTATGGGGCTTTAATCGCTTCTCTAACAGTCTCACCCCCATGAGATGTCCAATGGTGACAGAGAAGCCGATGGAGAGGGCAGCCGATCCCAGACGACCGTTCCTTCTCTCATCCGTCACAGCGAAAATGCAGACAACAAGCTGCATAGTGAGGAAAACCTCCACAGTGGTTGCCATCCCGAGGCTGATCCCGGGCTGCAGCTGAAAACACAAAAATGACACGTCCAGTTGTTTGTCTTCTAGTACTGAATACTTTGATCAGTTAAAATGCTACGTTGAGCTACTTACTGTATTCATGGCCATGTTGCCTCGCATGTTGCCAGGTGTGACTCCGTACAGCACCGCAGCCCCAGCGACAGCGCCCAGGCACTGGGCAACGATGTAGAAGAAGGCGCGGAAAAATGACATCTGTGAACCGACAAGGTAGGCGAAGGTGACTGCAGGGTTGATGTGGCCGCCGCTGATGTGGCCGATGGACTGGATGAGGGTGCCGGCTGCCAGACCGAAGCACAGGGCCACATGAAGGACGTGATGGGGCCCGGTGGTCCAGCGAAGGGCAGCACCCATGCCGAAAAATACAAAGAACATGGTCCCAAAAAACTCAGCGAAGACTGCCCGCCAAAAATTCATCGACCGGAACTCCCACATGGTGACTGTACGCTTGGAGGCTTTGTACCAAATGAAGCCGATTCTTTGAAAATGAATGTAGGCGTTTCAGTCTTTTTTAAAAAGTCAAAGATAACGCACAAAAAAAGGATCTCCTTTTGGTAGTCAACTACCTCAACTGACCAGTGTATCAGATGGATGGATCCACTTGGCGAATCTTTACCAAACTGCAAACCAGGTTGGTAAAGTCAACTCAGCTGTTTGCCGCCTCTCTCCACCTGTCGTAAAGACATAGGTGTGAGAGGATGTGGGGGTGTGGGTGGAGGTCGAAGGTGATGGGACTTAAGAGCAGCTGGGCATCAATGCTAAAAGGGGGGATTCTGAAGCAGATGGGGATAGACAGACTGTCCAGTGGACCTTTTAGCCTCTCTGACGGAGCGAAGGGGGCCAGACAGGCGCTTTATAAAGCCCCCTCTAGGGGCCCCGGGTGACGCCATAATCCCCCCCGTAGGGCCAAGGCGGGGGGCTGCAGCACTGGCCATCCTAAACCAAACTAACTTAACCCCTTTGTGGCTTCCCCCACACACCTCCACCGTCACCACTAACGTCCAAATGAGGGGCGGTTCATCTGAGAAAAACATCAAGTCAGAGCGAGTTTGGTCAAACTTGAGACAACAACCAGGATGAAGGACGCGTTCGCCAATCCTCACCTGAGAGGAGCAGCTCAGCATGTTTTTCTTTTGGACACATGTCATCTGTTGACAAATGTCAAGGCAGGGAGTCACAAACTCTGATAGATGTGAACAGAAAGCACACGTGCAGATAATACAGCTGGGCCCCCGGGCGGAAGCTAACAGCGCTAACACACTGAAATGCCTGACCATGTGAAACCATTGTCCAGAGTGAGCTGCACATCTCAGAGTTCAGGCAAACATACAAGCGCTGGTTTAAATATGAAGCTACAACCAATGTTCGGGGGGGAAGTTTGCAGCTTTTGTATATTTTAGACATATTTTAGACATCTTAACCATCAATCATTGTCTCTGTCTGCTTAAAAGCAGCGACGGTTGAAAAATATTGGATTCTGTAGCCCCAAGGCCTGAACCGGACATCGTCCCAGTTCAACCAGCCTGGGTTGGTTGAGACAGAAAAAAGTGAGAAAACAAGTGATGGTTGATGTGTGTGAGGAGAAACACCGAGCAGTGAATACAGACGTGCTCCTAAAGCTGGAAAACGCCAGCATTGAACTGACAGACATGAACCAAACAGAGTTGTTTATGTTTGGCATCATGACGGGGGCTTCTGGTAGATGCTTGTCTGAGGTCTGCTAAAATATTGTTCAGTGCTGGAGCAAACACCTGGACGGTGTGTGTGTGTGTGTGTGTGTGTGTGTGTGTGTGTGTTTGTTTGTTTAAGTTCTATTTGGGGACTTGAACAAACAAACACACCAGCCATTTGGGGACACCTTGGCAATTGGGGACAAAAACCTGAGTGTGTGTGTACGTGCGTGCGTGCGTGTGTGCGCGTGGACACAGTGAATGCAGAATGCTTAGCTTGTTGTTTTAACTTATACATGTTGGAAAGAACACACACAATGCTAACTGCTGCAGCCGTTGATGTAGACGGTGCCCCTTCCAATAATTCAGTTCAGGTCATTTTCAAACACAATTTTATTTTGCAAGTCCAGACAAAAATACAATTTTACAGTAAAGATATTTTAAAAATACACTTTAAAGGGTCAGGTTTTTTTGCTACATGAAATCACAACGACGACAGAGCCGTTTCTGACAAACAAGAGCGATTCAAGTTTTTTGTCGTTTTGTTTAGGGCGAAACAAAATGTCTATAGTTTGATCAAAGGTGTTCTTTCCGTGGAACCGTCGGGGTCCATTTTTGGACTCGGAGAAGAGCCAGGCTTTAGAGTGGTGCTGGACTGATTGAGCGCATCATTGAACCCACAGAGCAGGCGAAGAAGCTCTTTAGCATTTCAAAGCCTCACAGACACGAGATGCAACATGTCGGTGTTGTTCTGCAGGGTTTCAATGAGCCGCTCTTACAAATTATAATGACGTGCAAATGAGAGAATACTGAATCACCCAATACTGCAGCTTTATATGATAATGGGCATCGGGGACCGGGGAAGTCAGGGTTTCAGCTTTTCAAATTGTTTTCTGTAAAATCTTATGATTAAATGCTGCCATAAAATTAAAGGTTGAGGTAATCAGGATGCTGCTTGAAATAAATAAATTGATGAGATAAGTTAGAGAGTAGTTCATAATGTCTGTCTCCTGCAGTTTACACAATCTTTCCTTTTATTTTAGATATTATTGTGTGAATGCTTATTAAGCTTCTTCTAACTTCTTTCTGCCAATTTCAGCCTGTTATGCTCCTTTCAGCTTATTTCTGCAAGTTTCAGCTATTTTTGCTATTTCAGCTACTATTTAGCTGTTTTACAATTACTAATAACTTTCGCTTTTTCAGCTAATTCTACCTTTTTTTGTGCTCATTTCAACTTTTTTCAGCCTTATTCAGCAAAAATGTGTTTGCTCCATTCCTTCTTGTAATTTAAGCTTCTTTCTACCTTTTTAGCTACTGTTCAGCTGTTTTTTGCAAATTACTGCTTTTTTCAGATAATTTCCACTTTTTTGTACTAATTTCTGCTTCTTTTAGCCTAATTGGGCACAATTGCGCTCTCTTTACTTTCTTATGGCATTTTAATCTTTATTCCACTTTTTTATCTGCTATTCAGCTGTTTTTTTTTTGTGGAAATTTTGTTTTGTCAGATCATTTCCACTTTTTTATGCTTATATATTCTTCTTTATGTCTTATTGGGCACAACTGTACTCTCTCCACTTTCTCCTGGTAATTTAAGCTTCTTTCTGCCATTTCAGCTACTTTTCAACTATTTCTTGCAAATTTCAGCTTTTTTAAATCAAATTCAGCAAATATGTGTTATTTCTGCTTTCTTCTGCTAACTTAGGCTTGTTCTTCCATTTCAGCTACATTTTAGCATGTTGTTAGCTAATTTCACCTGTTTTCCTACAAGTTCTTTGGCAATAAGCATTCACACTGCATTTTTGCAGAAAATGTTTTCATTGACATTGTTCTTCTGCTCTTCCTTGGACAAGAGGCAGCCACTGTCTATTTCCTGGACATATCTTTTGAAGTAAGGTGTTGTGGTAAGTTTAAGAACCACAAATATCTTACCTGTTATAGATAACTCTTTGAAAGACCTCAGTTTAAAAAAATAGTTTATTTTTAACCAGACTGACAAGCTAAATGCTAAGCTAAGTGGGGCCTCATTTTAGTTCAAAAACCGAGCGATTCCTCAAAACATTATTTTATAAACATATTATATATTTAATTTTATTTATTTATTTCTATAGTGCTTTATACAACCACGGTGATGGTGACCAAAGTGCTTAATAAAAACTAATTAAAATGACAACAAGTTAAAAGCAAGAGAAACACAGCAAAATAACAAAAAGAAAACCAGAAATGTCACCACATATTTAAGTACTAAAAGCCTGTTGGAATAAAAAAAGTCTTGAGCTTCGATTTAAAAGGGCCAAGTTCAATAATCTGACGTAGATCAAGTGGGAGTTTATTCCAGAGTCAAGGTGCGGCTGCAGAAAAGGCACGGTCACCCCAGCGTTTATATTTTGTCCTTGGAACAGAGAGCAGGAGCTGTCTGACCTCAGAGACCTGGAGCTGGGGGGGGGGGGGGAGACTTAACAACTCTGTTATAAAAGGAGGAGCGAGGCCATTCGGAGCTTTAAAAACAAATAAAAGTTTAAAATCTATTAGTTTTTTCTATTCTAAAATGTTTTTATCTATTCTAAAATGGACAGGAAGCTAACGGAGTGAGAGTAAAACAGGTGTGATGTGGTCCCATCTAGGAGTGTTGGTTAAAAGGCAACCTGCTGCATTTTGAACAAGCTGGAGGCGGCTCAGTGATGACTGAGGTACACCGACATACAGAGCGTTACAATAATCGAGCTAGAACTGATAAAAGCGTGAACAACCTTCTCCAAGTTGCAATGGTTCAAAAGGTTTGACCTTTTTGAAAAGGTGTAAATAAAAAAATCCAGACCGGACAACAGAGGTGATATGTTTGTCGAAGTGTAAAGCCTAATCAAAGGTCACCCCAAGGTTTTCACACAGTCACTGAAGTTAATGTTCAAATTTCCCAGCCCAGTTGCATCTTTGTCACCAAATAAAATCCATTCTGTTTTATTGTCATTTAAAAACAGTAAGTTCTTGTTTAGCCAATGTTTAATTGCAAAGATGCAATCAAAGAGAGAAAGCATTGGGTTACTGGATCCTGGCCTTAATGGTAAATAGATTTGCAAATCATCTGCATAAAAATGAAAGTTGACATTGTGCTGTCTTATAATAGATCCAAATGGCAACATGTACAAGGAGAAGAGCAGAGGGCCCAAAATGGAACCCTGGTGCACCCCACACAGATGAGGGACTGTAGAGGAAGAGGAACCATTGTGGAAGATAGAGGAGGTTCTGTCAGAAAAATAAGACGTGAACCACTTCAGAGCTGTGCCACAAATCCCAACAAAATCATGGAGGCAAAACAGAAGAACAGAGTGGTCCACAGTGTCAAAGGTCGCTGTAAGGTCGAGAAGCACCAGAGCTACTGGGCACCCAGAATCAACTGACTGAGCTGTCATTATGAACTCTAAGTAATGCAGATTCTGTGCTATGCTGGGATCTAAAACCAGATTGAAATTTATCCAGGATTGTGCTTTTTTCCAAAAAAGGCTGAATTTGCAGAACAATTTTTTTCTAAAACTTTGGAGAGGAAGGGTAAATTAGAAATAGTCTAAAATTCGATAAAACCAAGGGATCAAGATTTGTTTTTTGAGAAGGGGGCAGACCGTTGCATGTTTAAAAGCAGAAGGCATAATTCCGAGGGTCAGACATGAATGGAAAAAAGGAAGAAGGTAATGACCAACAATATTAAATACCTCTTTTAATAATCTAGTAGGGAGAAAATCAGTGGGACACAGTTAGTGGGTTTAACAGATTTCACTATTTTGTCCAAGAGGGAATAAGACAGTGGTTCAAACTGCTTGAATAAAGCAGAACCAGCAGAGATAAAAGAAAACTATATAACCTGTGAGTTCTGTGGAAATAACTGGAAACTGACGGGGATGTCAATGTTTGTACAACATCTTTGTGTGAATGAATAGCTGTGATTTTTAAAAATATTTGAGTTGTTTTAAGGAAGCAACAGTCCGCTTTGGTCTTGCCCTGCTCTGACTTAGCTTGTCAGTTCAATCAGGATTATATTCTGAGGTTAATTCTAACTACAACAGGTAACATATTACCTGTTTGTTGCCCTTCCACAAAACCCTCCATCCACCATCCTGCCTGATGATATGCCTCCATCTTTCTTCCATCCTCAGTTGCCCTCCTGTTTGTTCGCCTGCTTGGCCCTCATGGCGTTCTGTGTGACCGTGGACAGAGACGACCCGGTCATGCTGGCCGTCTCCACAATGTCGATGTCCTTACAGGTCAAACAAGCCACCAGCTTGTGGCGAGAGGCGCTGCGTGCAAAGAAGAACTCGTGGGAGACTCCGGCCAGTAAGGCGCCGAGGAGCGGCCCGATCCAGTACACCTGCAGGCGGGAAACAGAGAAAGGGGATGTTGCATTATTTGGATGGTCAAAGACAAACAAACAGCAAACAAACATTATCTGTATGTGAGTGAGAAAAGACGACTGTTACCAGTTTAACTAATGGATGCTGCAGGTCTGTATGAGTTGCACCCACTGAGGTAGTACAGTTTTAGAGTTTAGAGGATTACAATATGAATGTGAAGAAACAAGAAAAGTAAATCTACAAAACTTTTATTATTATATTATTTTTCTTCATGACTGATTTTTCTAGTTTTACAAAGCTGTAAACTTTACTTCTATGGGTTTAAATCAATTCAAAACAAAAGGAAGAAGATCTGATCTGCATCTGATGCATAAAGAATCAAAAATACTTATAAATGTATATCCAACATTTTTCAGTCAGGTCATCTTGACAGTTTCTTTTTTTGTGCTGAAACGTTTCGCCTTCAGTCTGGAAGGCTTCATCAATCAAGGAAACACACAACAAAACTGATTCTTCCCCAACAGCTTACTCCAAAGTGGAAAAAGAAACTATCCAGATGACCCGACTGAAAAATGCTGGATTGTATACCTGGATTATTGAGCATAGACTTTGTTGTTTTCAACCAGTTTGACAAGACTGTCAACAAGGAAGAGGGCTGGCAATAGAGGAGGGGCGTATCAAATAGACCATCTTATCACAAGCAGAACTGGTTTGTTCCACTTTGGAGTAAGCTGTTGGGGGAAGAATCAGTTTTGTTGTGTTTCCTTGACTGATGTAGCCTTCCAGACCGAAGGCGAAACGTTTCAGCACAAAAAAAGAAACTGTCCGGATGACCTAACTGAAAAATGTTGGATTGCATACCTGGATTATTGAGCATGGACCTTGTTATAAATGTATATATTTGTATTTCACTAAAGTACTTTAAGACCTCTCGATCAGGGAACCTTAGGGGACTGATTGGACTGGGTGTACCAGCTGTAAAACAGCAGCTTTGCCAAAAACAAATGGTGGGGAAAGTGTTTCTCACCCAGTGGTTTTCCCAGAACCCAGTGACGATGGCTGGACCTAGAGAGCGGGCCGGGTTCATGCTGGCACCAGAGAACCGAGCCTGACAGACACACGACATTGAAGAAATACTGTAATAGTAAATTAATGATTAAAATCTTGATTAGAATGGTTAGTTTCAAAACCTTTATGTCATTTATCTGCCTGTTCTTGTATGTGTTTGAATAAAGAGCTTTTCGGTTCTTCTTTGCTGTTGCACACGTTTTAATAAGGTACATGTTGCATCATTCTCCCGTTTTCTTTTTACATTAAACACTTTCTGGTGCTGGTTGTCTGGTTTAGTTGTCCAAGCAGCAAATATGCATTTTTTTCTCCCATTCTCTTAGTTTTCAAACAATCCTTCAGCTGCTGCAGTTACAAGTGAAGAAGCTGCAGGGGGATCACTGAGTGCTGAATGACAGCTGAAATCTGCAAAGAAGCTAAAACTGAGTTAGTGAAGTTAAAGCAAGCAGAACAAAACTAAAATGAATAGAAGACAGGCTGACATGAGCAGAACACAAGATAAAAGCAGCTAAACTAGCTCAAAATTTAAAACAGCAGAACAGTAGCTAGCAGTTAAAAGTAGCAAAAAGAGTAGATAAACGTTAAAAACTAAACACAGCAGAGCAGTAGCTCAAAAAGGAGCACAACAGTACCTAAAATTAGCAAAACAGACTTTAAAACTAAAATGACAGCTAAAATGTTCAAAATAGCATAAAGTTAAAATTTGCAAGACAAAAGCTAAATCAGCTAAACAAATGATTAAGCTAAAAGTAGTAAAAAACTACATTTAGCAAAGCAGATGCTAAAGCTAAAATCATTAAAACAGAAGCTTAAACCACTAAACTACCTAAAATTAGCTAAACAAATGCTAAAGCTACAACTTGTAAAACAATAACTATACAAACTTAAATCTAAAAACTATAGAATAGTAGCTAGTTATAAGCGACAAAAAGAATAGCCAAAAGAAGCAGTAGGACAGTATCTAAAAGCCTAAAAGAACACAATAGTAGCAAAAATTGGCAGAACGGTAACTCTAACAAAAAGAATGCTTAATTTAAAATGAGCAAAAAAGTAGCTTTAAATAGTAAAACAGATGCTAAAATTACCAATAAGCTAAAATTAACTAAACAAATGCTAAATGAGCTAAACAAATGATTAAGCTAAATTTAGTAAAACTGCTACTTTTAGCAAAGCAGATGCTAAATCTAAAATCAGAAAAACAATAGAGACAATTAGCATAACTGTACATAAAAGCCCAAAGGAGCAGAAAGGTAGCTAAAAGCTAAAACTAGCATACAAAAATAATGCAGTTTGCTGAAGTAGATTTCAAAGAGAAAGTTTTCATGGCAATTTAAAAAAACAGCAATCTATGTCTATTTTAAACAGTAAGAGTTATTTTTAAAAAGTACAACAGTTTAATAAAAAGACAAAGTCCTAGCACAGTACTCCAGATCTAACATTTAGATTTCCAGGGTGTTTGATTAAAAACAGTTCAAAGTGCGCAGAAGTAGTTAGATCACAAAAAATGTACAGAAGGAGCTAAACATGAAACCAATAATTATATACAAATAATAATACCTGTAGAACTGACTGAGCATATTTAGATCTGCTAAAGTCAATTAGTTATAGCGGCCATTTTGAATTGAGTTGTTTCCTAAAGTTGATCAGAGTTGTATTTTTACAGTCTGCATCTACTTTCTGAAATCTTCAGTAAGATTTATCTAGTCATTCATGAACTATGTTAAAAAATACAGACAAAACATGATTGCCTTTCAGTTGCAGACAACAAATAAACAAATAAACAAACAAACAGCTGCAGTGTGGTGAGTGTCCAGGAGAAATATTTCATCTGCTCCTCTCACCCCTATAAGCACTCCAGCAGTGTGTGCCAATCCAATGGCCAGATTTCCTGGTTCTGGGCTCTCCCTCCGCCGCTGGTCCTCCACTGAGAAGATGGTGAAGACCATCTGAAAGGTGCACAAGACCTCAACGCCAAGAGCCTGCCCTGCATTCAGCTCTGCGGGCACCTGGATGAAGGAAGATGCAAAAGTATGCAAAAGTACCACGACATGAGCACTGATAAAACGACCAACATTCACACAGAGACTTTCTGGAAACTGACCCTGTTCACAAAGTGGACTGCAATGGTTTTGACAGGCAGGGCAAGGTAAAGGGCCGAGGCTCCTAAACAGGCCCCCAAACACTGAGCAGCGACATAAACGAGGGCCCGGAGAACATCCAGCCTCCGAGTGGCCAACAGAGACAGAGTCACAGCAGGGTTCACCTGGTCAGAGACAAAAACACACCTGGAAAATGCTACGTCATGGTTTTTTTACTTCTCTAATCCACAGTACGTGGAATCAGAGGCAGTTCTTGTTTGTTTATTTCACTTCCTGTTCGGTCCCGGTCTCCCTCAGTTACTGTCTTCATACAAGTTTCTATATAAACTACAATAAACTCATGAAGTATTTACCTGTGCTCCACTTATTTCTCCAAAGCTGTGACCCAGTGCAACAATGACCGCACCCACTGCTACCGCTGGGTACAGGGGTCCCCCAGGGGCCTCTTCTGGGCCCGGAACAGAGGAGCCCAGAACAGCGCTCACCAACAGCAGGGTGCCGAGGAGCTCTGCAAGCATGGCACTCCAGAACTGCCGACTACGAAGCTCCTCGGAAAAACAAACGAGGCTCTCTTAGACTGAATAACAACAATTTTGAATCCATTTTAAGAACAGAATGTATTCATTTGCAGCTAAGTGATTCATTTTAAAGCACAGCAGAAACACACAAAAAATTTAATTTATGTCCTAAAAATATCCTGGAATTATTTCTGATTTTGTCAAAAGGCAATTTCTGTACAAGAAGAAAAACACACGACAACTGATTAAACAGCAGAGTACATAAATGACGTTTTGCCGTATACACACATACAGTATAAAAACAAAATACAGACTTTTCCATTCTTTTGACTGAATGCTTTTAAGTTGAGCTGATGAAATATAAGAAAACCATCCTGTAGATTAAGAAACCAAACATTGTGAATTTAGAACATTTAATAAATGCCGTGTGTTTAGGTGTAAGAAAGAGGGGCTCAGTGTGGCTCGTTATTGGTGCATTCTTCAAAAGTCAGCATCTTTGATCTTTTAACAGCACATTGTTTAAAGAGACAAATTTACATAAAAGCTGAAACAAACTTGCTCCGACCAGTAAAACAGCACGGACAATTTAAAGGTAACATTTGGACTTTTCAGCATAACAAAACCACATTTTACATTTATTCTGCCATCATGGCTTCACAGAGGAAGAATACAGTGGGAACATGCTCTGTCTGCAGTTCAGACATGTCCATCTACACTTTTTAAAACAGTTTTCCAGCATTAAATGCAAGAAAACTAAACAGTTTTAAATGCATTTTTTTCAGCACATTATTAGATTCTTACTGCTAATTATCTTCAGCTATAAACTAAAATTGCAAATAAAATATTCAGTTTTTATTATTATTTTACCCAGCTTTGCAACCAGGGGCTATTTTAGCCTCTTTTTGGGGGTGTTCAAGCACATGCAAATTTTAACTCAGCACCCCTGAAAAATTAAAAGGTAAATGGACTGTACTTATATAACACCTTTCTATCTAATCAAGACACTCAAAGCACTTTACAACACAATCTGTGCCCTCATTTACCCATTCATGCACTCTACTAGATCCCTACAAAGAATAATCAGTGCTTTATCACATTCATACACTGATGGGATACACATTGGAGGCAGTCAGAGAGACTGCTGGTGGAATCGAACCCTCAACTCTAGCAATCAAGGATGACTGCTCTAACCACTCAGCCACAGCCGCCCCGGTAAAATGAATAAACCATCATTAGGATTTTGTAAGGAAGCTTAGTTCTCAAATCTTAGATTCACCAAAATATTGAATAAATATGGAATAAATATGAAATAAATGATGACACTCTTTAATGGGCCAGTAAAATCTATGATTTTTTTTGCACAAGTTGGATCCTCAACACCACCTGTCAATCAACCCAGTTAGACTTGTCAGAAACTGACCAATCAGCTTTCTCATTTTGTCCCAAAGGTAAATTCCCCTTCCCTACAGTAGCTCCACCCCCTTTTCCTCCCAAAAACATTGTCATGGTTTTGTATTATGAACACTTTGCAGATGAGGGATTTTGTGAAAAGTCTTCAGACAAAATAGTTAAACGTCATTGGGGCACATGTAATTCAGACAGCGTTACCCTGAGCATTTACAGGGTGGAATATAGTTTATTCCATTTCCAAAACCTAATGGAGTTTGGAAAAATGTAAAAGATAGCTTAGGCTACTACTTTTCATAAACTGTGGCTAGAAAGGACAAAGGTAGTTAGGTAGGATTAGGGGTGTTAGGATGCATGAGAGAAGCGGAGCATGCTCTATTCACACAAGGAGAGCTGTTGGTCAGGCTACTTCTTGTTGTGCCATTAACTCTAAAATAGTTGTTGAATCAAGTGTTTATTTATGTAGGTAAACGTAGATGTTTAACAACCCGTTAAAATGCACCAGAATGCAGGAAATGGCATCTACTTTATTAAAAATTTTCTGGGGGAGGACCCCCAGAAACCCCCCTTCCCCACCACCACCACAACACACACACACACACACACACACACACATTACAAATGCTTCTGATGCCACTGGCTAGCGTTGTTCAAGTCAAGAGTTATTGTCAACACTGGGGGGCTGAGCACCCCTAAAAGTCAGATTCTAGAATTGCCACTGGCAACCTCTGACGACATATTGGGTTTTGATCTTCACAAACACAAAAGAAACATAAAACAGGGTGTGCTACAGTTAGGTTCAATGTACTAAAAACACATGAACTCATGATGAAGATCTGTATTTGTAAACACAAAACTCTCAACTCTCCTTGGTGTTCCTGGAGGAAAAAAAACATGTAAAATTACCCATCATGAAACGAAAGCATCAAGTGAAGACACTCACCTCGCGCCAAGTCATGTCTACTCCAGTGAATGTGTTGTCCTCAGGCTTCTTCTTGTCTGTGTACCCGTCTGTCCGTCTGTCTGTGTGGTGCTGTCGGGGTCTGAGGGCTTCAGGGTCTCATTAACTTGTAGAGTCTCAGGGGTCCTTTGATGAACAGCCTCCTCCCTCTACTCCTCATCCTCCTCCCTGCGCAGAGCAGAGATGTGCCTTTAAGGATGGAGATGGAACATCCTGCTCTATAAATTTACCAAGACCCCCCCCCCCCCCCCCACACACACACACACACACACACACATACAAAGAGAAAACTATAAGGAGCTCTTCACTTATCATCTCACTTGTAGGTACAATGTCTGAACAAATTAGGGTGATGGTTGAAAAATGCAAAGTGTTGTAAATGATATGAAGACACGTGGAGGAATGAAAATACCTTCACCGCTGCAAAGTGATGTTCAGGCTGATGGAGATTACTGCTCCGTTGAGTTAATATCATCTTAAACAAACTGAAGCTGGAAAAAATAAAGTCAAATATATTTGGAATTCTATCAAATGTAGTCTTTTCTCTATTTTTTGTTCGCACAAACTTATACAAGATTTGTCTGATATATATTGGGTTTGTCCAATTCTGATTGTAGTGTAGCAAACACCCCCC